CTTACCTGTTTTGATGGCGGTTGATAGTCAGAATCTAGTTGCTTAGTATTTTATTAAAGAAGAGAATATTACACCAAGAGACACTTTTTCAGTTTCTAATTACATAAAGGAACACTTCTTGCTGGAGACACACTTTGATGTGTGTTATGTCTTTTTTATCCTTTCACTAGATGAAAATTCGTTGTCCTTTTTTTTTGTCATTACTCATACTTTTTTTATCATATTTCTTTTTCTTCTGTATTAAAGAGAGAAAGATCATACAAGCCCAAAAATGGATTATTTTGGACGTCTAAATTAATTTTTTTTTGCAAGATTTGTTAATCCACGTCCTGAAGCTTCTTGTCGTAACTCAATTAATGGAAAAACTTAATATTCCATTATCTGCTTTCTTTACCTTTCTTCTTTCTCCATCTTTCTTCCTCTCCTCTTCTGTTTTTTTTTCACAGCATAAATACTCTCAATATTTTATTATTTGTTTCCTCCACTCTTTTCTTCTCTTCTTTTATTTTTTCACACCTCATAAAATTCATTGTTCACAGTGGCTCAATTGCTTCCATGAATTAAGAACTTCACATATAAAAAACCCAGAAAAAACTAAACTTTTTATCACATAAAATTAATTTGATTTATCTCATATCTTCAGATCCAATCATGGGGTATTAGAAAAAAAATCGTTGAAATCAGATCCAAGAATCAAAGTGAAGATTGTTGTGGTTATGGACATTAAAATGGTGAATACGAAGATAGGTGGTGGATGTGGTTACTAGAAAGGAAGAAGTGTTAGTGGATATGGTGAAAGTGGAATAAGTGGAAGATACAGAGGTGGATGGATGTGACAGTGGATAACAGAGTGAAAGTTGTGGTGGTGGATATAGAGGTGGTGGATACAGAAGTTGATACGGAGGTGGATACAGTAATGATGTAGGTGGTTACTTGAAAGGAGGAAAAGATGATGGATACGATGGAAGTTGAAATTTTGAAGGCGGAAGATACATAGAAGAAGACCGTACTTAAAAAGGAAAAGAACAAAAAAAATTAGATCTAAATTATATCAGCAAACAACTAAGGTAAAGAAAGTCCAACAAATGACTTGAAACTAGTGAATGTGTCCTTCAAGCAACAAGTGTCTTTTTGTGTAACAAAACACAAAAATGTCTTAATTGGTAACTCACTCATTAAAGAAAGATGAAAGGTATAGTTTTGTAACTTAAATTTATTTGGGCTTTTAAGGTTAGAAGTAATTATTAGTTAGTTAAATATATTTGTAAAATATGTGGGTTAGTTATATGGGCTTGTAGTAGAATTTTCTTTAGTTAATAATAAGAGAGTTAGTGGGTTAGAAATAAAAGGTGTGTCAAATTATATTAAATGTGGTTCAGGCTTAGTATTACTGAATATATATACATATATATATATATATACATATTTTAAAATAAAATGCGTGTCACTTTACACCTCATTGACAAGCATAGGTCCGCTTCTGCGCAACATGCTTATTTTTAATTGTTATAAAAAGACATTTAAGTGATTTTTTTTACATGTCGGTCAAGTGTAAAATTTTAAGAAAATCACTATCATTTTCTGGTTGATGAATTTTAATTTTACTTTATTTTAAACATATTTAAAAAAATAAAAAGTGATTTTGAACTAATAAATATTAGGTACCAAGGAAGACAAAAAAAATATCAGGTACCAAATACCTTAAATAATGTTACAAGTAATTATTTATGATAACTACCTTTAAAAATTATAGAAAAGTATATAATGGTTCATCAATATCTTTGGGATTCAACTATAATGGCCACTTTAGAAGTAGTGGAAACTATGGGAAAAAGAAATAAACGAATGATGTGGAATAAATTAGAAGGAATAATTGTAGAAAATATATAAAAACTTGTTATAGTGAGTGGTAACCAGAAAGGGAACAAATCTTTAAAAGATAAATAATTTAACTAATAATTCTAGAAGAAAATAATGAATGTAAATGAGCTTTTTGGTCTACAAATTTTGGTTTCCACGTCTATGTTCAATGTAATGTGTTTATGTTAAACAATAGTAAAAATTACGGAAATATATAATAAAATCATTTACAGTAATTGATACAATAGCTATATATTCTTATAAGCTCATTATTATATTTGCATATAAAATATTATAATAACTACTGGTGTTTTGTAATGCCCACATATGGTTTATAAATTATCTATAATAAATTAAGAATTGTTGTACATATATTATTATATTTAAATAATTCCTTTATATGGTTCACAAAGTCATTTTATCAGATTACTTGAAAGAGTTCATAAATCATTTAGAAAATTTATTAATCCATTTATATACTTATAGAAAATTAGAAAATTTATAATCTGATCCAACCTAGTAGTAACCAAGCCACCAAAAGCAACCAAAAACATTAATTAAAACATTTAACCTGAGCATGTACTATGGATTGATTTTGAATCATCAAATAATCATTTTTCGTGACAGCATTATTGTGAGAACTTTAAATTCTCCCATATGCAAAGATAACCTTTCGAACTTATTCCAACATGAGAATCCATCCCTCACAAATTCTGGATATGCATCATCTCTAAATAAGTAGAGAAAAAAAGATTTATGCTCTAATACATTTCACTCTAGTCATGTACGATTTACCATATAAATCAAACCAAGTTGTATTAAAGTTATGACCATGTGATTGACACAGACTTCTAAAAATATATTTGTACCTTACCTCATTGACATTGTTTTCATTTTAATCCTTGATATTTTTCTTTCGAACAGGATCCCATGGCAAATCATTGGTATTATCAGACGGTGAAACTTATGTGTTTTTTTGTAGTACAGTTTCATTGATTAATCTACAAAATATAAAAATGTATAAATATAAATTATATTTAGAAAATAAATAACATAAAATTTTATTTAATTAATTAACAAACTATTTTCATCGTTGAGAAAAATCTAATCAAAATTGAAATATAACATAAATCAAATGTGAAATCTACCAAAAACATGATTATGAAACCTATATAAAGTACAAACACGTAAAACCTACAAACCATCAACTCTAGTCTAGAGTGAATCAACTATCTATGACTTTTGCACTTTTACAATGAAACAAAATAAACAGATGATATAAAAAAAATTACTAATCGTACACATTGTTGAAACAATTCAAGCACTAACATAAAGAATTATAAGATAAGGTACCAGTTTTTTTATGGTAGACAAGAGAAGAAAACTCCTGTCAATTTGATATGATGGTTTGGATTTGCAGGTTTAAGGAAAAGCTGAAGCAAACAAATATTTTGAATAACCCTCTCACATATTACAAATACTTATGCTCCGAATGGTGAGATGGAGAATTTGGTAATAAAGTGGTACGAAATTAAAGTGTGGTACAGTATAATTGTGGTTCGTGCGAAATTCATGTACAGTACGGTACAACTGCAGTTTTAAGTAAAAAGTGGTATATATTATTGTTTGATTGGTGAGAATATATATTTGCGGTATTAACTAATTATTTAATTAATAAGTAATAATAATATAAAATATGGAATGTAACTAAATAATAGAAATATTACATTAACATGATAAATAATAAATTTATTTTAAAACAAAATATCTAAATATGCGTTTAATTACTGTATAAATAAATAATATTAGCATTTAATCAGAATAAATCTTAGTTAGTATTTGGGATATATAAATCATATTATATTATATTAATTCTAGTAATTTTAAATAATAAAAAATATTTAATATCTATATAACAATCAACTAATAAACAGAAATATATATAACATATGACTGTAGCTCTAACATAAATAACATGCTTAAAACTTTACGCTAGTTCTTAAACGTTTTAGCATGGTTGTTATTTATACTAGAGACTTTTTCCGCGCTATGTGCGGATTAAATACTTAAAATTTATCATAAATTATATACTATGATTTCTATTTTATTTTAATTGTATTTTAATTTTTATATTTAAATATGATATTTAATGACATCAACCATTAAAAATTATCCTACTTAGATTTTCATATATTTTTATATTAATTCTAGATTAATATATAATCTAAATTTGATTATATACATTATAAAATATGTATATACATATAATAAAAGTCATATCAAAGTTTAAGTGAAGTCAATATTATTTATAAGTGATAATATATTGTTTTAATGTGTTAAATAATGTAGTGTGTTAAATATGTATCATAAAAATGAAATTTCATAGGTTTCATAAATTAGTTCGTGAAATGAATTACTTTAATTCATGTAAATAAATCATTAAAAAATTATGAAAATTATTTTTAATGGCTAAGTAAACAACTTTAGATAATTTTTGACTCCATGAAAAGTAATACAACAAATAACCAGATTTTAACTAAAAGGAAATTTTTTAAATCTCTTTTACACTAAACCTAAATTATAAACCTTAAACCATAACTCTAAGCTCTAAACCGAACCAAACTAATATAGTTTAATTATTGGTTAAAGTTTTCTTAGACCCAAATAATCCAAACCAAAGCGAAGCCGTAATAAAACTGAAATGTCCATTCCTACTGCACATGGTGCAGAAAAATACCTAATAGTAAATTAAGATGATCATTAAACCAATATTAAAAACTACCTAATATCTAATATTAAAAATAAACATTATAAACTTGTAATTTATTTAACTTATCTACAGTATTCGTTGAGACACTATAAACTACCTAATCCTAAATTAAGATGATCATTTATAATAATGGAACTATATAACTTCCCTACAGAAAAATACCTAATACTAAATTAAGATGATCATTTATCATAATGGAACTTTGGTTAGTTTATAGGTTCAGCTTTTATATAGTGTGACGGTTATTTTTGTTTAATGATTAATTTGAAATCGTATTGCTCCGATGTATGAAAAATAAACATTATAAACTTGTAATTTATATAACTTCTCTACAGTATTCGTTGAGATACTATAAACTGTAAACGTAAGTCTATTCATCCCATTTGTCTTTAGGGATCTCTCCAGAATCAGCAATCACAACTTTCTTCCTTGGTTTTCCACTGTAAGTACCAGCTCCACCTTCAATGGCAAACACATAGTACATTCCTTGTATAACCTTCCCAAACACAACATATTGCCCTTCCAACCTATCCACCCACATTTCAAATGCCAAACCATGAATGAAAGTACGTATTATTATAGAGCAGAATTGGTTCAAATGGGTGTGTTTGTCTTAAACTCAAAGCTCTTGATCTCAATACTATTTGGTTCTATGTAAGAGCATGAGGGTTTATAAATGAGAGGAGAGAGAGTACCAGCTAGCCTTGACAGTAGTGATAAAGAACTGTGAGCCATTAGAATCAGGTCCTGTATTAGCCATCGCTACAACACCTACATAACACACAGATTTGGTTTAACTACAAGAAGAATACATGAAACTCACTTTCCTAAGTTGGTATAGAGAGTAAAAGTAGGCACCTGCATGTGAATGCTTTACTTTGAAATGTTCATCAGGAAAGGTGCCACCATAGATTGACTCACTCCCTTTCCCATCACCATGGATTAAGTCTCCTCCTTGGATTACGAATCCAGATACTATATGGTGAAAAGGTTTTCCTTTATAATGTAGAGGCTTTCCGCTTGAAGCTTTTCCCTTCTCTCCTAAGTTAAGTGTTCCGATCCATTTAATAAGAAACTGAAGCATCCGATTTCAAGATAAACACTAATCATTTTAAGTAGCAAACGTGTGCATAAAGCCCTGAAATTTTCTGCCAAAAGAAAATAAATAAATAAAAGAACTCTACCATTAGAAAAACTATTTAAACAATTGAAAACTACATATCCTGAGTTTTTGTATTGAAGATGACAAAGACATACCTACAATTTTGGGTACAACAGTGCCGTATAATCCAATAAAAAATGCCTGCACGTATTGCAACAAAGCTAAAAGTAAGCAAATGGCAAAGAAGAGGGTGTACATGACCACAACAAAAACTGTTTCCATTGAAGAAAGGTGAAGAAGCAATCTTATTTTGTTTTCTTATATCAACTATTTATATATATATATATATATATATATATATATATATATATATATATATATATATATAAAAAAAAGTTCCTTTTACCTAAGCGCTGGCTCTCGATATCAATATCTAGGAACACTCTGTGTGTAATTTCGTAATTCTCAGTGATTTGCTTCTCCTCTTCTTCCTAGGCGTCAAGAGAGCAAGCAAAGAAAAAAAAATGCATTCAAATCAACAAAGCTCTCAGGATTATGCTCAGCGAAAGTGGCTTAAATGCTAACCTGGAGATATATCAGGTAAAGATGGCTGAAACAATTCACCACCATGCTTTCAACAATGCCCTGAAAAAAAGAAAAAAAAAATCTTTTAGCAATTTAAGAGAAACAGAAGGATCCGCAGCAGCACTGGGAAGCAATGGTGTCAATGAGCGGTCAAATGAAGGAACTTGACCATGTAAATCCACTCCTCCATACTGGTAAACAGCAGCCTACACACACAAAAGAACACTGGTTGACTGAAAAAACTGAGAGTGTAAATGTAAGAACAAAAACAAATCTGATTCAGACCTTCTTCGAGATTGCGATTAAAAATTTGTTTTCGCGTTTCAGAGAGAATAGGGCGAAGAAGAAGGTGAGTTTTCTGGGAGGGAGACTCGCGGGGAAAGAAGCTGCCTACTTTTTCCAGGAATCCAAACCCGCTGTTAACCGTATCGCCGAGAAATCTCTACCCACCACCGCCAAAAAGCTTCCACCTTCTCCTTCAGATATTCAACCAGACGTTCTTCCGGAGGTTCTGCGCCATTCTCTTCCTCCTAGACTCTACGGTCCTCGTCTTGACATCTTGAATCCTCTCAGAGGTTGCGTTTCTCTGCCTCAGGTCACGTTTGGCAGCAGAAGGTTCCAACTTTATCCAAATTAGAGTTTCCTAGTAAACTCTTTTGGTCAAAAGGGAAAGACTAAATTTGCCAACGAAGTCCAAAACCTAATAAAACGAAGTCCAAAATATAACAAAAAGAGGATGACATGATTGATTCATACAATATTACTGGTCGAAATTTTAAACCGACGTGGCACACCTAAGAAGCCTTTATATTTGACTTTTATTTATAGTAGATATGGATAGCTATGGTTAGTATCAAATCGTAGCTCACATGCCCAAATTTGCTTGCTGGTTTTAAAACTTTATTTCTACTAATAGTTATTTATTAAACACGTAATGGTAGTGAAAAATTGTCTTAGTTCATTTAAAATGAAAATAACATATTAAGACAGGCAAAAAAATAGAAGAAACTGACATATAATATTTTAGTAAATCCATTGGTTAATTGGTGCGGGTATAGGAAAAGCAGTTTTATTACGTTAACAGCATAATTTTCAAATACGCCACAGTACCTTTTTTTGTAAAAACGAAAATGATGAAAAGAAAACGTGATTGGTGCGTATTTAAAAAAAAACTTGAATTCCGCACTTCTCTTTGTCGCCATTCTTTGCATTAGGGTTATATAAAAAAGAAGGAAACTATGTGGTTTATGCAAACATAGTTTTTTATGAATACTTATTAATTTATGTTTTATTATTTCAAAAACCAGTATAATAAGTGATTATTCATGTTCTCGAAAAATTTAAACAAATATCATATTATTTATATATAACAAATTTTTTTAATCAAAAAAATATATTTATTATTGAGTTGAAATTTTAAAAATATTCAAGACTTAGATTATCCATGGACAGAAAAATGTGATGTGGTGATTGCAAGGTAAAAAAATTATAGTTTTGAGCCTCCGAAAAGATTAACGTTCCGCTTATCACATGGAATGGGGTCCACAGACCAAGTGAGAGGACGTAGAAACCCCGTTAACCATGGACAGTCGGGGAGTTACAAGTGGTATCAGAGCCAAATCCAGATGAGTGTCGAGTCATGTGAGTGTTCATACTAATATGGATAATGATCTTAAGACTCAATGAAGACTTTGCGTTCTTTTAGAGAGGTGAAATGTAACATCTTTATTTGTTATTATGTGAAAGACTTAATATAGTTGATCTGACTACTTATATCATTAAAGTGCACTTACCTTTTTGGTCACATATCGAGAAAGAATTCCAAAGTTAAGCGTATTTAAGCTGTAGCAGTGGAAGGATGGATGACCTACTGGAAAGTTATTCGCGTAATGGTGTAAGTGAGGTCAAAATACAGAGAAAGATCATGTGGTAATTACAAAGTTAGTAAACAAGACTTTCGAGCCTCTAAAAAAAAATTAACGCACAACTCATCGTTGAGTCCACATACCGAGTAAAAGAGCGTCTGAGATTCTTTAGCCGTGGGTGATTTGAGCGTTACATAAAACTCTGCCGGAGAGGAGAATTGTCACAACAAAAAAGGTGGACAACTGGATTTTAATGCGAACTTGATCAGAGAGAAAATCTCTTGACAGTCGGAATTTCTTTTGAAAGATAAGTGTAAATAAGAGAACAACGTGAGTATTATTGGTCATGTACTTTGGTATATATACAACCTTGTGAGTCCTTAAAGATATGATCTCATACTTATTTATACAACTCTCATATATATCACGAACTTATATCATCTTTATATAATACTCACCCTCAATTTGGGAAGATGGAAGTTTTGAACTCCCATCTGAAACAACAGCTTCTCAACTTGAACTCGTCCAAGAGCTTTTGTTAAAACATCAGCAATCTGCTCATTAGTCCTAACATGAACCGTAGAGATCAGTCCAGCCTTTATAGAGTCTCTCACTTGATAACAATCTGATTCCACATGCTCCGTTCTCTCGTAAAAAAAAATGGATTTGTTGCAATGTAAAATGCAGATTTATTGTCACAAAACAATCTTACTGATTCAGTAGATGGCGATCCCAAGTCATGCAGCAATCGCCTTAACCACTTGATCTCTCATGATGCCTCTGCCATTGACCTATTCTCTGCTTCTGCTGAGGAGTGTGATACAACATCCTGCTTATGTGTTCTCCATGAGATAGGTGAATCTCCTACCAATGCTACATATGCACTTAGAGATCTTCTTGAAGTGGGCACGAAGACCAGTCGGCATCACAGTAAACTGAGAGTCTTAAATCAGAACTTGAGCTGAGAAGGATACATTGACCAGTTGTTCCCTTTAAGTAACGTATCACTCGAAGAGCTGCCTCCCAATGTGCCTCTCTTGGTGTTTGCATAAACTGTGCCAAGATAGGAACTATATAGGATATGTCCGGTCTTGTGATCGAAAAATATATCAACCTTCCCACCAATCTTCTGTATTTTTCAGCCTGTCTTATAAATGGACTTAAGTCTCTTACAATTTTTATGTTATTGTTCCCTTGGAGTTGCAGACGGTTTGGCTCCAAGTAGACCAGCTTCTGCAACCAAGTCAAAACGTATACTTCCTTTGAGCGATCATAAAACCTTCCTCTCCTCTTCCAACTTCAATACCCAAAAAATATTTGAGTTTCCCGAGATCTTTCATGTGAAAGTATCTTCCCAAGTACTCTTTGAACTTCATCAATATCTCCATATCGTTTCCACACACTAATAGATCATCCACATATATCAAAACCCAAATCTCATTATTTCTCTTGGTGAACATGAACAGAGAATAATCTTCATATGAATGATTGAACCCATATTATGTCAATGCTTCACTTAACTTTGCCTACCAACATCTAGGAGTCTGCTTTAAACCAGACACCGCCTTGTGTAATCTAAACACTTTCTTTGGATCAGGGTGAGAAAAACACTGAGGTAGCTTCATGTATACCTCTTTCATGAGCTCTCAATGTAAAAATGCATTTTTCACATCCATCTGATGTTTTATCCATCCCTTCCTGCTACCACACACAGCATGCTTCTAATTATTGTCATCTTAACCACTGGTGCAAACATTTCTTTAAAATCTACTCCTTCCTTTTGTCTGTTACCAAGAGCCTTGATTTGCTCCTTTTCTTTGTGTCGTCTGCTCCATATTTGTTCTTATAAAACCACATGTTTCCAATAGCTTCTTTTCCTGGTGGTAGATCCACAACACTAAATGTATTATTTAGTTCAAATGCATCCATCTCATCTTTCATTGAGTTCCTCCAAACCTCATGTTGAACTGCCTCTTTATAACTCTTTGTTTCAAAATCTTTAGTAACAGCAGCTAGAAATGCTTTTTGTGTTTCTGAAAAATTTTCATCAGAAATAAAGTTCATTAGAGGATAGGGTGTAGTAGCCATACCTGGGACCGTTTGCAAAGACTCTGACTCGGAGCTGATGAGATTGTAATGGGGATCTTCAAGGCAAACTGCATTGTAACTGATATAATCTGGCAACTTAACTGCTGGTATCTTCTCCTGCATACCTCGTCCTAACACTGGTTCTTGCTCTTGATTCTCATCATCCTGACTAGCCACTGGTGGGTCACTTTCTTTGTTATCATATGAGATGTCTTGAGTCACTGCACTTTCTGTTATTGCAGCTTGACTTTCTTCTGTAGTTACCTCCTTAGCTACACTATCAACGACCTTAGCATTCTCATCCTCAACAACATCTACTTCTTCACACTCTTTGACTACATCAACTCCGTAATAGGATCAATCTCCCTATCTTCTGTGTCAGAGACAGTGTATATTACCCAATCATCATCAGTAAAACTCTTTCATTCTCAACTTGAACCGACTTTATTTCTTGCAAAGGAAAAACATCTTCCTTAAACACTACATCCCTGGAAACAAAAAAAAACTCATTTGTTTCCAAGTCATATACTTTCCATCCCTTTTTCCCAAAAGGATATCCAACAAAAATGTATTTTCTGCTTCTAGAACCAAAGTTATCTCTGCTCCTGTCCTTTCTATGCACATAGCACAATGACCCAAACACTCTCAATGAGTTATAGTACGGTTTCTTTCCGAACATAACTTAATATGGTGAATTTCCTTGCAAAATCTTTGACGGATTCATGTTGATAACATGAGTAGCCGATGAGATTGCTTCTCCCCAAAACTTCACCGGCACCTTGGCTTGAAACAACATTGCTCTGGCCACTTTTAAAATGTGTCTATGCTTTCTTTCTACTCTACAATTCTGTTGTGGTGTGTACAACGCACCATCTTCACGCTTTTACCAAAGTATTCCATTATTCATGAAGAATGTTAAATTTGTGAACTCCAAGCCATTGTCACTACGCACCATCTTCACGCTTTTACCAAACTGTTTCTCAGTATACTTGCAAAATCTTTCCACAACTTTCCTTACTTCAGATTTTTCGATCAACAAGTAAGTCTATACTGCCCTTGAATAATTATCTAATATGGTCAAAAAATATACTGCACCTGAGGAAGAAGGCACACGATAAGGGCCCCAAACGTCTACATGAATCAATTCAAAATACTGTGTAGTTTTATTGCAACTCTCAAAGAACACATCTCTAGTTTGTTTTGCTCCAAAACAGATGTCACACAAACTTGAGCAAAAATTATTCGAAACACCAGAAAACATAGGAGAACCCAAAAAATCTTGGTGTCCAAGTCTTCTATGCCGCAATAACTGATCAACTTTTCCCTTAACCTTTTTGCCTTTCGCCATTGATACATCCTTGAAGTAATACACCCCATCACGCTCCTCACCTGCTCCAATTATAGTCTTCGAGGAACGGTCATGCAACACACATATAGCATCAGTGAATAAAGCAAAACAATTCATATGTCTTAACAACTTGGAGACTGATATCAACGTGCAGTCTAGATTTGGCACATATAAAACATCTTTGAGTGAGATCGTTTCACTCAAAATGAGATCACCCTTTTACGTTGATGTTTTTTTTCCTCCATCCGCAAAACCCACCACACATGGTAGCATGTCTCTCATATTCACAAGCTGAGAAAGCTCTCCAGTCATGTGATGCGAAGCATCTGTATCTAT